AAATAATGTACAACAATTAATCATACACAACAACACCAGGAAGGTACTATAAGAAAATAGTCAGCGGGAAAAATTTATTTCATGCTCAAAATAATAAATTTGTAGACAGTGGTGCAGATTTGTAATGTTATTTCAGGTATTAATCCTTGGAACTAACTGGTTTAAATTATTATACTAAGAAAATGTCTTGAGATTTGCAACAAGAAAAAAGTAGGATGGGACTTGATTTTAGCCAATGATTCGTTCCATAGCGGAATAGAAAGTATAAAAAAATTAATTAAAATAGTAAATGAAAAAGAGAGAGAGAGATTTTTGTCATCTGAAAAGGGAAGTCATTTCAGAAATGTAGATTATAAAACTACCGTATTTCATTAAAGATTACAATTACTTTTTTTCTTTGGTGTCTTCTTAAAATAATAAATAAATAATAAAAAGAGGAGACCAAGCCCACTAACTTGCAGATTAGAATCCTCTGTATTTTCATCCTCCCCTTCTTCAACAGTGCCATCAGTGTTTTGGTTGCTTTCAGCCTAGAAATAACACATATTCAGTCATTTCAAATTCTATATTTTCATATTAAGTAGGTGAAAATGCATACAGAGTAGGGATGTAACAAATAACTGCAATTTAAAATTTCAATTTAGTTTTGTTATTTACATTTACATTATTTTACAATTTAAATTTTGTAATTCAGCAGACGCTTTTATCCAAAGTGACTTACAAATGAGGACAATAGAAGCAATCAAAACCAACAAAAGAGCAGTAATATGTAAGTACTATATTAGTATATTATTATAGTATTATATATCAATTTCACAAAGAAACGTGCAGCATTTTGTCCAAGCAATAATAAAAGGACATATTTAATTTATAATTTGTCTTAAATCTCATTTTGTTAAAAAAAATTATAATAATCGTTAATCGAATCGAGAGTTGGGTGAATCGAATCGAGAGTTGAGTGAATCGAATCGAGAGTTGAGTGAATCGAATCGAGAGTTGAGTGAATCGAATCGAGAGGTGGGTGAATGGAATCGTGAGTTGGGTGAATGGAATCGTGAGTTGGGCGAATCGAATCGTGAGTTGAGCGAATCGAATCGTGAGTTGAGCGAATCGAATCTTGAGTTGAGCGAATCGAATCGTGAGTTGAGCGAATCGACTCGTGAGTTGAGCGAATCGACTCGTGAGTTGAGCGAATCGACTCGTGAGTTGAGCGAATCGACTCGTGAGTTGAGCGAATCGACTCGTGAGTTGAGCGAATCGACTCGTGAGTTGAGCGAATCGACTCGTGAGTTGAGCGAATCGACTCGTGAGTTGAGCGAATCGACTCGTGAGTTGAGCGAATCGACTCGTGAGTTGAGCGAATCGACTCGTGAGTTGAGCGAATCGACTCGTGAGTTGAGCGAATCGACTCGTGAGTTGAGCGAATCGACTCGTGAGTTGAGCGAATCGACTCGTGAGTTGAGCGAATCGACTCGTGAGTTGAGCGAATCGACTCGTGAGTTGAGCGAATCGACTCGTGAGTTGAGCGAATCGACTCGTGAGTTGAGCGAATCGACTCGTGAGTTGAGCGAATCGACTCGTGAGTTGAGCGAATCGAATCGTGAGTTGAGCGAATCGAACCGAGAGTTGAGCGAATCGAACCGAGAGTTGAGCGAATCAAATCGTGAGTTGAGCAAATCGAATCGTGAGTTGAGCGAATCAAATCAAGAGTTGAGCAAATCGAATCGTGAGTTGAGCAAATCGAATCGTGAGTTGAGCGAATCGAATCGTGAGTTGAGCGAATCAAATCGTGAGTTGAGCAAATCGAATCGTGAGTTGAGCGAATCAAATCAAGAGTTGAGCGAATCAAATCGTGAGTTGAGTGAATCGAATAGAGAGTTGAGTGAATCGAATCGTGAGTTGAGTGAATCGTTACATCCCTAATACAGAGAGTTTAAAAAGAAGTGACGCAGATCTCACAAAGCCCTGATAAAAAAATTATAACCAGTCCATGTTTGGTGGAAAATAAATCACCAGCAGCCGAAAATCACTGCACTAAACTTATAAAACAGATGATCGGCTCTCAAGTTAAATTCGTATTCAGTGCATCTGAATACAAGTCCATTTGCAGAACTGCAAACTTTGTAAACACGCATACACAACATAGCTAGTTTTCGACATATGGACATTAAGCATTGTTATTACACGTTTAAAGAATTATTTAGGACTGTTATTCAGCGTACGACAACTCTCAGATGTGTGTGACAGTACTAGTACACCTCATGCTAATGTTAG